ATTTTATTTATTTATTTATTTGTTATTTATTTATTTATTTTCAGCTTATGATTTGGAGCCACCCTTGGTGGGAGGCGGTTGGTTAGAACAACTTCCTCCCAGGCTGTGTCCTGCCTGTTAGACTTGTTGCCGGGCCTCTGTCCACTTCTCACATGCTCTTTCCTGCCCCAGGTGTCTGTTAAGTGTCACACACCACCTACCTGTGTCCGTACACACGAACCTGTCTTGGGAGGCACAGGGAAATCACACGGCACGTTAGTGTGGAGGTGAGGGCGGGTCACCCACAAAGAGCTGGGGCCAGACTTTCCAGGATGGAAGCAGGGCCCCTGCGTGCCAGGCGGTGCTCCAGCCTGTGACCCACACACTGGCTGAGTTGTAGGCTTGGGGACATGTCTTGAGACTTGTCTGCCATGAGGATGAAATAGGGGGCTTTTGTTCATCTGTGAGCGGCTCCAGCTCAGAGGGGCTGGGAGGGGAGCCACGGAGGCCCTCAGACTCCAGGCCCAAACCCCCAGACTAAAGGGAGATGCAGTTCTGTTGTCAAGGGAGTGTGGGGGTCATGCCCTGGATGGGAGGAGGGGACACCAGGAGATGCCCCCTTGCTGCCTCCTGCCCACAGTGGGCTGAAGTGGGAGAAAGCAGGGCACAGAAAGACCAAGTTCCTCCTCTCCCTGACCTCCGGGCCGGCTGTCCTGGGGGGACCTGAGTTCCCCTGCTCCTGTCAGAGAGGATTCTTAGCTGTGTGCAGGGTGGAATCTGTCTTGGGCTGACTCGTTCTTTCTTTTCTTTTTTTCTGTCTTTCTTTCTTTCTTTCTTTCTTTGGGGTATTTTTGAGACAGAGTCTCACTCTGTAGCCCAGGCTGGCCTTGAACCCATAGCGATCCTCCTGCCTCTGAGGGCAGGGCTTACAAGTGTGCACTGCCACACATGACCATGGGCTGGTTCTCGAGCCTGCAGGTGACAGTCACTTTTTCTTGTGGGTCCTCTAAAGTGCAGGGTCCTTGTTCTGGCTGGGAGAATGCTACCAGTCGGCCGAGGGTTCTTGCTCAGCTTGTCCGGAAATCACAAACTGGCGAGGCGGAGCTCTTTTAGCGTTAGCAGCCTGAGCTCGGGAGGCCAGCAGCTCTCCGCTCAGAGCAGCCACTGCCGGCAGCCCCTGGACTCTCCCAGCCGCCGAAGATGGCAGCCGCTGGCTCTTCAGCATTGCTCTTGGTCCCTCCCTTCTGCCAGCCAGCATCTCAGCAGCCGGCTTCTGGCTGCTTTTGGTGCTGGCAACCTCTGGTGTTAGCAGCCTGTAGGGTCTCAGCTCAGTGTGCTCTGCCTGAGATAGAAATCATGAATAGGAAAAATATTCCACCCGGAAGAGGCTTTGTTACTACTTAGGATGGAGCACCAGGGGCGACAGCACGCAGAGGGCCCGGGTAAGGTGGGAAGGGGCTGCTTACACAGGAGGAAGGCAGCTTACGCATGGTCGTGGGCTGGGGAGGGGACCCTCGTGGACCTGACTGACGAGGCCCTGGGGTGTTATCATCTGGGATGGGTCTGTGCTCGAAGTCTGCTGCGGCCAGAGCCAGTGTTTCTTGGAGCGGCCATGGGGTGCCTGGCATGGCCAGATTGACTGCCTGGCTTGGGGTCCGCCCCAGAAAAATAGAAAGGACCTCTTAGGAAGTATTGGGCCCTTCTCTCCTGTCTCACTCCTGGCCTGCGCCTGAGTCCTCTCTGCGAATTGTGGCCAAGTGAAATATTCTTTCTTTACACTTTACCCTTTAAGAGGGCGGCTTTTAATATTTGTGAAGTTGCCGACCATCATCACTGTCTAATTCCAGATCATTTCTGCACTCCAAAAGTAATACTATCCCTGTGAGCAGTCGCCTGTCCCCTCCCGGCCCTGGTACCCACGAGTCCACTTCCTGTCTCTGGAGTCCCTGTCCTGGGCGTTTCCTGTCCATGGAGCCCACGCTGTGTGTCCTTCTGTGTCTGATGTCTCTCACTGAGCATGGCATCCTCAACATCCCTCTACATTAGGGCCGGGTCAAAGCCTCACTCCTTTTCCTGGCTGAGTAGTATTCTAGTGTGAAGACAGAGCGTGCCGTGTGTTTTTCCTTCATCCATGGACAGGCCATTTGAATTGGGAGCTATGACTGAGAAAGCTGAGCTCAGTGCCGTTCCTCTTTCCTGTCCCTCTAGTGCCTAAGGCCCAGTCAGAAAAGTGTGTTCCTGACCGCAGTCCTCGCTGGGAGGTGCTGGACATCACCAAGAAGGCTGTGGCCAGTCCGCGGATCATCTCCCTGGCTCAGCCCAAGGTCCGCAAGGACCTTAACGAGGACTACAACCCCTACTACATCTCCCCGGCCTCTCTGGTGGCTCGGGCGTCCCCGCGCCTATATGAGCTCGCCACCCCCAAAAGCATTACCAAGAAAGTGTGACCAGGTGCCTGGCCTGCTAGCTCTCTCCCAGTAAACGCCCAAGTGCACCCTGCCTGTTTCCGTGTCTGCTCTGGGCTCCAAGGCCGGGGATGGGCGTGAGGGGGGGCTGCAGGCTGAGGCTGAAAATAATAATGTTGAATTTTCACATCCTGTGGTCTGTGCAGCCCTCTTATTTGTGGGGTCACTGTCTTCAGTCCTGCCGAGCACCTCTGAGGTCAGACTTGGCTGCTTTGCCTCAGAACTTCCTCTCCCGGGAGCCCCAGGGCATCGTAAACTCAGGACAGTGTCTCCAGTAATCTCACCACCAGGCTGCAGATTCCTTGATTCTCATGGTGACTGGCGAGCAGGGACAGTGGAGTCTGAGGTCCAAGAGGTTAGGAAAGGCCATGGCCCCAGCTGGGGCCCCCAAGTGCATGAGTTGAAATCCTCTTCTCCACCAAGCGTGGTAGTGCACGCCTGTAATCCCAGTACTTGGGAAGCTGAGGCAGGAGGATCACTGTGACACTGAGGCCAGCCTGGGCTACATAATGAGTTCAAGGCCAGCCCAGACTACATAGTGAGATCCTGTCTCAAAATAACCAAATAAATAAATAGATAAATAAATAAATAAGTAAATACCAAAAAAGAAAAAAGGAAACCTTCCCCCAGAGGTGGTAGTCTCAGGTGGGCCCTGCCAGCTGATGAAGTCACAGAAGTGAGCTCTTGTGAAGGGTTCTGTCTCAAAAAAACCCAAAACAACAGTAATTGGAAAACAGAAGACTTTATTCTAGAGATTGAAAAAGTTCACCAGGTCCCAAGACAATGACACCCAGTGGGTGGCACTAAGGCCATCGCTGAAGAGAACACTTTGGGTACCAGACAGGAGACCAGGATGCTCCCCACGAAGCCGCGGCCTTCCATGGGGCTCCCGGCTCTGCTCTGAGGCAGGCGGTCTGCTGAGGGAGCCACACAGCCCAGCTGTCCTCTGTGGATAAAGAAGGCAGATGCCTGTTCCTGGACATTCAAGAAGCAAAGGAAACTTCCCAAGGAAACTGAATGAGGATTATTTCCAGCCCACTGAAAGCAAACTGAGAGATCACGGGAAGAACAGATGAGGAGAGACTGGATCCATTTGAGTTGAGGATCAGCATTAAATCAGGTCCAAGGAGAATGGCTGTGAGCGGAAAGGCCATAAATTTTTTTTTTTTCTTTTTTGTCTTTTTGAGACAGCGTCTTGCTATGCAGTTCAGGCTGGCCTTGTAGCCCCAGCTGGTCTCAAATTTGCAACAATCCTCCTGCCTCAGCTTCCCAAGCGCTGGGATCACAGGATCGTGCCACCACGCCCAGCCATCAATCTTGATGTTAGGGGCTGGGGATTGAGCTCAGCGGCACAGTGCCTGCCTGGCAAGTGCAAGGTTGTGAGTTCGATTCCTAGTACTGGGAAAAAAAAAAGAGAGAGAGATAAATCTTGATGTTAGAAAAATAAAGAGCAATTTAAAGGATAGATAATAAAAAGTAGGGAGAGGGCCAGGGATGTAGTTCAAGGGCACAGTCCCTGAGTTTGATTCCCAGTACCAGAAGAAAAAAAAAAAAGTGGGGAGGTTGATGTCTCTCAAAAGGGAAGGGGAAAAAGAGATGGAGGGGAGAATAGCTGGGCATGGTGATACACATCTGTAATCCTAACACTCAGGAGGCTGAGGCAGGAGGGTCACCCTGAGTTTGAGGCCAGCCTGAACTATATAGAAAAATCCTGTCTAAAAAAAAAAAAAGGAAGGGAGAGAGCGGGGAGGGAAAGGATGGAAACAGGAATTCAGATGTGCGTGTGCACCCACCAAGTCCACACGGGGAAGGTAAACATTACAGACTGCAGGCATGAACTAATGAAAAGAAATGGTGTAATGAACAGGAATTGAGGGGTTGGAGAAGTAAGTGGTGGACGTGAAATAACACAGACAGTGCTATTTAAAAGTGATTGTTGCAGTAATAGAAGCGGAAATATATCTAAGACTCTGATGGTAAAGACTAAGGAAACAGTGTGATGTTAACTAGAATTCTGTAATCCAGGAGAGGGAAGATGGGGCAAAGGGGACACAAGCTGATATTCTTTGTAATAATGGGATTGAGAACTAAAACTAGAAATTCCACCTGACCCAGCTATTCTCCTCCTTTTTTTTTTTTTGTCTTTTTGAGGCAGGGTCCCGCTATGCAGTTCAGGCTGGCTTTGAGCTCACTTTGTAGCTCAGGCTGGCCTCGAACTGACAATGATCCTCCTGCCTCAGCCTCCCGAGTGCTGGGATTACAGGTGTGCGCCACCACGCCAGGCTTCTTCCCCTCCTAAATTAACTTCCTGAAAGACTTAAACACAGCATATTACAATGATACATTCTTACCCGTGCTTATAGCAGCACAGCTCATAACAAACCTTGGAAGAGGCCTCTATGTCCATGAACAGATGAATGGATAAACAAGGCGCGGTAAGTACACACAACGAAGCGCTACTTTGCCATAAAGAAGGGTAAACTTGGGGGGCTGGGGATTTAGTTCAGCAGCGTAGCGCCTGCCTGGCAAGCGCAAGGTCGTGAGTTCGATTCCCGATACCAGAAAAAAACCAAAAGAAAAAAAAAAAGGAGGGTAAACTTGAATCATTTGTAGTAAAGTGGATATGCTTTGAGACTGTAATGTGAAATGAAGTAAATCAGACACACATGCTTACATATAGCATGGTTTCTTTTATATAAGAAATCCAAAGTATAAATAAAGAGTACAATAAAGGCTAGACAGTAGGAAATGAGAGAGATAATCTTTCTCAAATGGAAGGAGATCAGGAGATGAGGGGAAGGACAAGGCGGGAGGGGAAGGTGATGAAAAATATGCGTTAGTGAAGTAAGATAGAAGAAATCAGACAGGTAGGAGATGAAATCATTGGTAAGAAGACTGCAACTTCTAGGACTTGGTGGCTAAGTCTTAGCTGAAGTCACCTAAGACAGCCCCACGGCAACATTCCTCTGCTAGATTTATGTCTCTTGCCTGCTAGACCCAGCGCTAGAAGGCCATAACCTGGCTCAACTGAGAAGGTAAACAAAAGGTTGAGAAGGTTTAAATGACCTCTGGGGGGTGGTTTAAACCAGGGTCTCCACAGGGGTAGGCAAAGAGTTCCTGAACAATAACCAAACTGCATGGGAAATACTTCAAAGAATCAACAACTGGGATCTCCTCTTATTGAAAAGTTTTTGCACATCAGAAGAAGTCACCAACAGAGGAAAAAGAAAACCCAAGAATTGGGAAAAAATTTTTAGCCAATTGCCCCTCAGACAAAGGACTTCTATCTAGAACATATCGAAGTAAAAAGAATCAGGCCCCCAAAATTCAAAGACCCAATCCAAAAATGGGCATCTGAGATGAATACGCACTTCTTGGATGAAGAAATACTAGTGGCAAATAAATATATGAAAAAATATTCAACATCATTAGTCATTCAAGAGATGCAAATTAAAACAGCACTGAGATTCCATCTCACCCCAGAAAGAATGGCTATCTATCATCAAGAAACCAACCAATGACAAATGCTGGAGAGGCTGTGGGGAGAAAGGAACCCTTCTCCACTGCTGGTGGGAGTGTAGATTGGTGAAACCACTGTGGAAATCAGTTTAGAGACTCCTCACAGCACTAGGACTAGAAGAGCCAGGGATATAGCTCAGTGGCATAAGCTCCTGTCTGGCAAGTGCAAGGTCCTGAGTTCGATTCCTGGTACAAAGAAAAAAAAAAGAAACCATAAAAAAATAAAATAAAATAAAACTAGGATTAGAAGTCCCACTTAACCCAGCTATTCCCCTTCTGCGTATTTTTCCAGAAGAATTAAAAATATCATACCACAGCGATATATGTGCACCTGTGTTTATAGCAGCACAATTTGTCATAGCTAAATCTTGGAAACAACCCAAATGCCCATCAGCTGAGGAATGGACAAAAAAGATGGTATTTTTATACAATGGAGTATTATTTAGCTATAAAAAAGATAAACTCAAGGCTTTTATAGGTAAATGGATGCAACTAGAGACCATACTCATAAGTGAAATAAATTGACTTTTTGTTTTGTTGTGTTTTGTTTTTTGTTTGTTTTAAGTGAAATGAATTGGACCTACATGTGTAAATATCATTTTGTTTCCCCAGTGTAAGAACCTGAAAGAGTAAATAAAGCCCAAAATGTACCATAGATAATATGAAAGGGAGCCGGGCGTTGTGGCACACGCCTGTAATCCCAGCACTCAGGAGGCTGAGGCAGAAAGATTGTGAGTTCGAGACCAGCCTGGGCTACAAAGTGAGCTCAAGGCCAGTCTGAACGCCATAGCGAGACCCTGTCTCAAAAAGACAAAAAAAAAAGAAAAAAATAATATGAAAGGGAAAGACATTGCTCAAAGGAAGGAACAACTGGCATGATGGAAAGAAGAAAAAGAAAGAATTAAGGCAAAAAAAAAAAAAATATATATATATAGATAGATAGCTGAGATAACTGTACTGCTGATGTCTGGTGGTTTGTTTTTTGTTTTGCTTTTTGTTTTTGTTTTGTTTTTCTTCCGGTACCAGGAATCGAACTTGCTCTTGCCAGGCAAGTGCTGTGCCACTGAGCTAAATCCCCAGCCCCGTCTAGTGGTTTATTGAAAGGAAAAGTTAATACTTAAATTTTTGTTTATATTTTGACCAATTTTGCATGCTTATATCTGGTAATCTGAGTAACTGATATGAAGACAACAATATGCAGTATAACAACCACTGGTGAATTCCTACTGTTACAGGAAAATAAAAACTCCCAACCTGAATGATATCTGGGACGTCTGTGTTCTCTAAAATCGAAGAGTGAATTTTAGGAACAACGGAGGTTAAGAGCAGAATATCTTTGTTGATGGAAAGAAAAGAAATCTTCTGTCCAAGAGAGGGACAGAAGAGGGGCCCGAGTGGGTTACCCAAGACTCTGTCTTTTCTAGGGACTTTATAGAGCAAAACCATGAGGTGAGGCAGGCCCAAGGAAAAAATTGACAAAACTATGGTCAGCCAATAAGAATTGTTCAGGTAAAATTGATTAAATCGGGATCAAACAGGGAAACGAGTCACATAGCAAACGGGCATGAATACAGAACAGGGGCATTTCCTGTAAGGGGTTGGGTCAAGGACTC